GGGCCCCCGGGCAATAGGGGATCATGGGGCCCCTGTGTCCTTGCCCAAACTCAAAAATCCTATGAAAAAGGTACCAGGGGCATCTCATGGGGCCACCTACTGACCCGGGGCCCTTGGGCAGTGCCCGAGTTTCCAAATGGTCAGTCCGCCCCTGCCCCCCCCATGTCAGAATGTCCGCCGCAGTCCCACTATAAGTCGCTGATTGCCGCCATTACTAGTATAAAAAATAATATCTCAGTATCTTTCCCGCCATTTGTAAACGTTATAACTTTCATGTAAACCAATTAATTTACACATATCGGGATTTTTCTCATCAAAGACACGGAGCAGGAAACATTTTGTTTGAAATTTATGAAGAAATTTGATTTTTTTCAAATTTTTTACTGGACGTGTTTTATGGCAAAATGTCAAAAAAAAATTTTTTTTTTCTCAAAATTGTGTCTTTTTTTGTTTATAGCACAAAAAAAATTAAAAACGCACAGGGGATCAAATACCACTGAAAGGAAGCTCTATTTGTAGGAAAAAAAAGGATGTAAATTTCATCTGGGTGCAGCACTGCATGACTGCGCAATTGTCAGTTAAAGTAACACAGCGACGTAACGCAAAATATTGGCCTGGTCAGGAAGGGGGGGGGGGATCCTCAGGAGGGAGAGGGGTTATAAACATTGAAGAGATGGGAGATAGAGAGATACAAACATCGATCAGACGGGAGATGGAGAGATACAAAGTAACATTGTTTATAAACATCGATCAGACGGGAGATAGAGAGATACAAAGTAACATTGTTTATAAACATCGATCAGATGGGAGATAGAGAGATACAAACATCGATCAGACGGGAGATGGAGAGATACAAAGTAACATTGTTTATAAACATCGATCAGATGGGAGATAGAGAGATACAAACATCGATCAGACGGGAGATGGAGAGATACAAAGTAACATTGTTTATGAACATCGATCAGACGGGAGATATAGAGATACAAAGTAACATTGTTTATAAACATCGATCAGACGGGAGATAGAGAGATACAAACATCAATCAGGCGGGAGATGGAGAGATACAAAGTAACATTGTTTATAAACATCGATCAGACGGGGGAGATGGAGAGATACAAAGTAACATTGTTTATAAACATCGATCAGACGGGAGATAGAGAGATACAAAGTAACATTGTTTATAAACATCGATCAGACGGGAGATGGAGAATACGAAGTAACATTGTTTATAAACATCGATCAGGCGGGAGATGGAGAGATACAAAGTAACATTGTTTATAAACATCGATCAGACGGGAGATGGAGAATACGAAGTAACATTGTTTATAAAAATCGATCAGACGGGAGATAGAGAGATACAAAGTAACATTGTTTATGAACATCGATCAGACGGGAGATGGAGAGATACAAAGTAACATTGTTTATAAACATCGATCAGACGGGAGATAGAGATACAAAGTAACATTGTTTATAAAAATCGATCAGACGGGAGATGGAGAGATACAAAGTAACATTGTTTATAAACATCGATCAGACGGGAGATAGATACAAAGTAACATTGTTTATGAACATCGATCAGAGGGGAGATGGAGAGATACAAAGTAACATTGTTTATAAACATCGATCAGACGGGAGATAGAGATACAAAGTAACATTGTTTATAAACATCGATCAGACGGGAGATGGAGAGATACAAAGTAACATTGTTTATAAACATCGATCAGACGGGAGATAGAGATACAAAGTAACATTGTTTATAAACATCGATCAGATGGGAGATGGAGAGATACAAAGTAACATTGTTTATAAACATCGATCAGGCGGGAGATGGAGAGATACAAAGTAACATTGTTTATATAAACATCGATCAGGCGGGAGATGGAGAGATACAAAGTAACATTGTTTATAAACATCGATCAGACGGGAGATCGAGAGATACAAAGTAACATTGTTTATAAACATCGATCAGACGGGAGATGGAGAGATACAAAGTAACATTGTTTATAAACATCGATCAGACGGGAGATAGAGAGATACAAAGTAACATTGTTTATAAACATCGATCAGATGGGAGATCGAGAGATACAAAGTAACATTGTTTATAAACATCGATCAGACGGGAGATCGAGAGATACAAAGTAACATTGTTTATAAACATCGATCAGACGGGAGATAGAGAGATACAAAGTAACATTGTTTATAAACATCGATCAGATGGGAGATCGAGAGATACAAAGTAACATTGTTTATAAACATCGATCAGACGGGAGATCGAGAGATACAAAGTAACATTGTTTATAAACATCGATCAGATGGGAGATAGAGAGATACAAAGTAACATTGTTTATAAACATCGATCAGACGGGAGATAGAGAGATACAAAGTAACATTGTTTATAAACATCGATCAGACGGGAGATAGAGAGATACAAAGTAACATTGTTTATAAACATCGATCAGATGGGAGATCGAGAGATACAAAGTAACATTGTTTATAAACATCGATCAGACGGGAGATGGAGAGATACAAAGTAACATTGTTTATAAACATCGATCAGATGGGAGATCGAGAGATACAAAGTAACATTGTTTATAAACATCGATCAGACGGGAGATAGAGAGATACAAAGTAACATTGTTTATAAACATCGATCAGATGGGAGATAGAGAGATACAAAGTAACATTGTTTATAAACATCGATCAGATGGGAGATAGAGAGATACAAAGTAACATTGTTTATAAACATCGATCAGACGGGAGATAGAGAGATACAAAGTAACATTGTTTATAAACATCGATCAGACGGGAGATAGAGAGATACAAAGTAACATTGTTTATAAACATCGATCAGATGGGAGATCGAGAGATACAAAGTAACATTGTTTATAAACATCGATCAGACGGGAGATAGAGAGATACAAAGTAACATTGTTTATAAACATCGATCAGACGGGAGATAGAGAGATACAAAGTAACATTGTTTATAAACATCGATCAGACGGGGATGGAGAGATACAAAGTAACATTGTTTATAAACATCGATCAGACGGGAGATAGAGAGATACAAAGTAACATTGTTTATAAACATCGATCAGACGGGAGATAGAGAGATACAAAGTAACATTGTTTATAAACATCAATCAGACGGGAGATAGAGAGATACAAAGTAACATTGTTTATAAACATCGATCAGACAGGAGATGGAGAGATACAAAGTAACATTGTTTATAAACATCGATCAGACGGGAGATGGAGATACAAAGTAACATTGTTTATAAACATCGATCAGACTGGAGATGGAGATACAAAGTAACATTGTTTATAAACATTGATCAGACGGGAGATGGAGAGATACAAAGTAACATTGTTTATAAACATTGATCAGACTGGAGATGGAGAGATACAAAGTAACATTGTTTATAAACATTGATCAGACGGGAGATGGAGAGATACAAAGTAACATTGTTTATAAACATCGATCAGGCAGGAGATAGAGAGATACAAAGTAACATTGTTTATAAACATCGATCAGGCGGGAGATGGAGAGATACAAAGTAACATTGTTTATAAACATCGATCAGACGGGAGATAGAGATACAAAGTAACATTGTTTATAAACATCGATCAGACGAGAGATAGAGATACAAAGGAACATTGTTTATAAACATCGATCAGATGGGAGATAGAGAGATACAAAGTAACATTGTTTATAAACATCGATCAGACGGGAGATAGAGAGATACAAAGTAACATTGTTTATAAACATCGATCAGACGGGAGATAGAGAGACACAAAGTAACATTGTTTATAAACATCGATCAGACGGGAGATAGAGAGATACAAAGTAACATTGTTTATAAACATCGATCAGACGGGAGATAGAGAGACACAAAGTAACATTGTTTATAAACATTGATCAGACGGGAGATAGAGAGACACAAAGTAACATTGTTTATAAACATCGATCAGACGGGAGATAGAGAGACACAAAGTAACATTGTTTATAAACATCGATCAGACGGGAGATAGAGATACAAAGTAACATTGTTTATAAACATCGATCAGACGGGAGATGGAGATAAAGTACAATTCCTCATTTTTTTAACTAACGTATTTTATTCATCCGCAGGTCAAAGAGTTATATGTGTGATTTCCACTAAAGCAACCTGACAAGTACAAAAAAAAAAAAAATAACAAAAAAAAATGAATGGTTAAAATGAAATAAATACATAAATAAATATTGCACATATATATATAATATTAAATAAAATCGTTCCCAATGTAACCCTTATTAATCCTTTGTTTATCCTAAAACAAAACAACCCTAAATAACTCTCACTTCCTTTTCTCTCTTCAACAATTTATTTCTGTCTTTTTCTATGTTATTAGTAAATATTGTATAGAAACCGGTTTTGTTTTCTGTTTTAATTTGTTAATTCATTTTTTTTTATTGTCACATAAAAAAATGCAAAATAATAAAAATAAAATCTTTATTTCTTTTGTAAATAACTTTGAAATTCTATGTTCCTGAATCCTAATTTAGTGTACATTAAATTGTACAAATTATAGAATAAAATGTAGCCGTATTGGTGTATTTGGGACACAAACAATGGAGTACGGACGTGATACTTTGTTTATTTGCACTAACATGCAATTTTGAGGACAAGCTTTCGGGGAATGTCCCCTTCTTCAAGGTCCAGGCAGCACTGCAAGAGTAGAATAAAATGTACGCTGTTTATCTACGGCAACTTTTTTTTTTTACTAACACTTACCAAAAAACAAAAAATACGTTTTTTTTCCCCCAGTTTTTTTTGTTAATGAATTGCTTACCCAAAGCTGCATGATGCAGATCGGTCCTGACTTCTGGAGTTTCCAATATTCTGGTCTAATAACGGTCACTATAAATAATGACCCCCAACCCATCTGATCATTGTGTGCCGGTATATATATATATATGTATCTCTTATGTCTTTCTTTCTCTCTCTGTACAGGAGTAGAAGATGCAGACGGTCACCACTCAGCCCGGGGTTGTCACCACGCAGACGGTGACGGTCAGTCAGGGGCCACGATGGAGCACCGATATGTGCGACTGCTGCGATGACTGCGGCATCTGTACGTATCCCATCCCCCAACGTATCCCACCCCCAACGTATCCCACCCCCAACGTATCCCATCCCCCAACGTATCCCACCCCCCAACGTATCCCATCCCCCAACGTATCCCACCCCCAACGTATCCCACCCCCCAACGTATCCCACCCCCAACGTATCCCATCCCCCAACGTATCCCACCCACAACGTATCCCATCCCCCAACGTATCCCACCCCCCAACGTATCCCACCCCCCAACGTATCCCATCCCCCAACGTATCCCATCCCCCAACGTATCCCATCCCCCAACGTATCCCATCCCCCAACGTATCCCACCCCCAACGTATCCCATCCCCCAATGTATCCCACCCCCCAACGTATTCTACCCCCCAACGTATCCCATTCCACCACGTATCCCATCCACCAACGTATTCCCATTCCCCCACGTATCCCATCCCCCAACGTATCCCATCCCCCAACGTATCCCATCCCCCAACGTATCCCACCCCCCAACGTATCCCACCCCCCAACGTATCCCACCCCCAACGTATCCCACCCCCAACGTATCCCACCCCCCAACGTATCCCACCCCCAACGTATCCCATCCCCCAACGTATCCCACCCCCAACGTATCCCATCCCCCAACGTATCCCACCTCCCAACGTATCCCACCCCCCAACGTATCCCATCCCCCAACGTATCCCATCCCCCAACGTATCCCATCCCCCAACGTATCCCATCCCCCAACGTATCCCATCCCCCAATGTATCCCATCCCCCAACGTATCCCACCCCCAACATATCCCATCCCCCAATGTATCCCACCCCCCAACGTATTCTACCCCCCAACGTATCCCATTCCACCACGTATCCCATCCACCAACGTATTCCCATTCCCCCACGTATCCCATCCCCCAACGTATCCCATCCCCCAACGTATCCCATCCCCCAACGTATCCCATCCCCCAACGTATCCCACCCCCAACATATCCCACCCCCAACATATCCCACCCCCAACGTATCCCATCCCCCAACGTATCCCACCCCCAACGTATCCCACCCCCAACGTATCCCACCCCCAACGTATCCCATCCCCCAACGTATCCCATCCCCCAACGTATCCCATCCCCCAACGTATCCCACCCCCAACGTATCCCATCCCCCAACGTATCCCACCCCCAACGTATCCCATCCCCCAACGTATCCCTCCCCCAACGTATCCCATCCCCCAACGTATCCCATCCCCCAACGTATCCCATCCCCCAACGTATCCCATCCCCCAACGTATCCCACCCCCCCAACGTATCCCATCCCCCAACGTATCCCACCCCCAACGTATCCCACCCCCAACGTATCCCATCCCCCAACGTATCCCATCCCCCAACGTATCCCATCCCCCAACGTATCCCACCCCCAACGTATCCCATCCCCCAACGTATCCCACCCCCCAACGTATCCCACCCCCCAACGTATCCCATCCCCCAACGTATCCCACCCCCAACGTATCCCATCCCCCAACGTATCCCACCCTAATGTATCCCATCCCCCAACGTATCCCATCCTCCAACGTATCCCATTCCCCCACGTATCCCACCCCCCAACGTATCCCATCCCCCAACGTATCCCATCCCCCAACGTATCCCACCCCCCAACGTATCCCATCCCCCAACGTATCCCATCCCCCAACGTATCCCATCCCCCAACACCGTTCACAAGGCTTTTGCTCAATTTATAAAATATTCAATAATCCCACCAGAGGGTGCCTGGCACTGCAATCCTGTATAGGGCGTCCCCTAGTGGTGTCTGCACAGGAATGAATCAAGGGACTCACTTAACCCCCTGGCGGTATTCCCGAGTGTAGCTCGGGGTAACATTTCAGTACCAAAAGCGGTAACCCCCCCCCCCCGAGCTACACTCGGGCTTACCATGCGGCGTTGCTCAGGGAGTCCCTGCAGCGCTTACCTTGTCCTTCGCTCCCGCGATGTGTCCCCTGCAGCATCCCCGGCCATCTCCTCCGGCCGATGCCGGCATCCGGCTTCCGTGTTCCAGTCCCTGTGACGTCGGGACGTACGGGCGCCGGAACCGGCGGGAAATTTGAAATAAAAAAAAAAAATGACATTTTTTTTTAAAACGATTACTTCATAGTAAAACATTCCTGTATCAAACCATTTCACATACATTGTGTCCCGACTGCTTTGTCCGGCGCCCTGCCTGCATTTTTACTGTTCTTTCTGCCTGGAAACTGAGAAACGTCCATGGCGTCCAAAAAGCGTCCTTTTACATCAAAATCGGTTTTAGACCGGCTAGAGAACAGCGATAGTAAATCAGAACCACTTGCAGAATTGAGTGATAATGATTGGTGGGGGAAATTCCTCATCAGACACTGAAAACGATTCTGCGACTTTGCTCAGCGATGTGCGAACTTGGCGCTCTATTTCACATTTCAGTGTTTTTGGTTTGATTATATTATTGAATTACATTTATTATTATTATATTATTATTTTTTATGATTATTTATTAAATTAGAATTTATGATTTTGTGTTTCAAATTTTATCCTCCCCGGGATGTTCACTAGACTCTTGTCCGGACAGATTTCAGTGAGTTATTCCTAAGAATTACAGCCTACACTAAAAAAAATACATATTTCCATGAAAAAAATGTACCGCTTTTGGTACAAAAATTCCTGACATAATCAGACCGCCAGGGAGGTTAAAGGAGAAGTTTGCTGCACTTGGGGTGCCTTTAACATCTAATGATAACATGAACACCAGGATTATTTCCATCGTTTCTGAAAGGCATGGCACAGTGTGCGTTTTCTGTGCGTTTTCTATGCATTTTCTGTGTTTTCTGTGCATTTTCTGTGCGTTTTCTATGCATTTTCTGTGTTTTCTGTGCGTTTTCTATGCATTTTCTGTGTTTTCTGTGCATTTTCTGTGCGTTTTCTATGCAATTTCTGTTAGTTTTCTGTGCGTTTTCTGTACATTTTCTGTGTTTTCTATGCATTTTCTGTGTGTTTTTTATGCATTTTCTGTATTCTGGGCATTTTCTGTGTGTCTTCTATGCATTTTCTGTGTTTTCTGTGCGTTTTCTATGCATTTTCTGTGCATTTTCTATGCATTTTCTGTGTTTTCTGTGCATTTTCTATGCATTTTCTGTTAGTTTTCTGTGCGTTTTCTGTACATTTTCTGTGTTTTCTATGCATTTTCTGTGTGTATTCTATGCATTTTCTGTGTGTTTTTTATGCATTTTCTGTGTGTGTTCTATGCATTTTCTGTGTTTTCTGTGCATTTTCTGTGCGTTTTCTATGCATTTTCTGTTAGTTTTCTGTGTGTTTTCTGTACATTTTCTGTGTGTTTTTTATGCATTTTCTGTGTTCTGTGCATTTTCTGTGCGTGTTCTATGCATTTTCTGTGTTTTCTGTGTGTGTTCTATGCATTTTCTGTGTTTTCTGTGCGTTTTCTATGCATTTTCTGTGCATTTTCTATGCATTTGCTGTGTTTTCTGTGCATTTTCTATGCATTTTCTGTTAGTTTTCTGTGCGTTTTCTGTACATTTTCTGTGTTTTCTATGCATTTTCTGTGTGTTTTTTTATGCATTTTCTGTGTTCTGTGCATTTTCTGTGTGTGTTCTATGCATTTTCTGTGTTTTCTGTGCATTTTCTGTGCGTTTTCTATGCATTTTTCTGTTAGTTTTCTGTGCATTTTCTGTACATTTTCTGTGTTTTCTATGCATTTTCTGTGTTCTGTGCATTTTCTGTGTGTTTTCTATGCATTTTCTGTGTGTGTTCTGTGCATTTTCTGTGTGTGTTCTGTGCATTTTTTGTGCATTTTCTGTGAGTTTTCTGTGTTTTCTATGCATTTTCTGTGAGTTTTCTGTGCTGTCTATGCATTTTCTGTGTGTGTTCTTTGCATTTTTTGTGCATTTTCTGCATGTTTTCCATGCGTTCATAAACACACAGATGTGAACGGAGCCTCATTGGTCTGTGTAAATTCACCAATTTCACTTTCCGGCCCCATTCACCCTGAGATTAGCGGGAAGGCATGGTTTTGTCTGGTTTGTCCAGTAACACACATAGGGCAGCCGGATGACCCCAATGGGCTGCACTACACGTGGCATAGTAACTCACACCATACACACCACATGCAGAGCTGCCTCATTCACTGAAATGGGTCATGCTTGGTAGGTGCCACACTCATCAGCCATGACGGGGCGTGTAACTCCTGCTGCGACATGTCTACATCCCTGGCCACTACAGCTAAAGGGGTTGGGGTGGTTGTGATGGGGGTGGAAAAAAACACATCTTAACTATGGGGTTTTACCATCCCCCAAACTGCAAATGTAAATGAACCCTTACTGTTTTGAGCCCCCCTATAAGGCTCCTTTCACACTGATGTGCTGCGGTTTACCTGCACCGCAGAGGGACTTTCCTGGGTTTGCTGTACTCTGCAATAGACTTCTGATGCATCCTGCAGGCACAGCGCACTTTCTGAAAGAGCATCAAAACTCATACAATTAAACGTTTTGGTAGACTTTCAGAAAGTGCGCCGCACCTGCGGGGGATATACAGAAGTCTATGGATAAGTGCAGCAAACCCAGGTACACTACACTACATCCGCGGTGTGGGGAAACCGCAGCAGATCAGTGTGAAAGCAGCCCTGTACTATTATGCCCGGTGTATTGCTTCACACTGACCTGAAGATCTCTTCTTTCCTGGTGCTGGCACCACTCTGAAGGCCACTATCCGGGATAAGAGGTGGGGTGCAGTTGGTGTCAGTCGTCATGGGACAGGAGCCGGCACTACAGAGGAGACATCGGCTTATGCGGCTCTTACTCCCTACTACAGCTTTACAAGTAGGGATGGGCTGTAAGTTTGACTCGAAAATGGGCTGTTCATGTGTTCGCTGAACACATAACTGGCAAGGGCTTTTATTGGGCTGTTCGCCCGCCGCACCCCACAATGCACTGCGCCCTGACAGTGCATTTCGATTGGTCAAAGCAATACACCTGACCACAAATCAGGTG